TTGTATATATATACCACATCTTCTTTATCCATTCATCTGTCGATGGACATCTTGGCTCTTTCCACAGTTTGGCTATTGTGGACATTGCTGCTGTAAACATCGGGGGAGCACCCAACTCTTGATTGCAGTTCAGGTCATGATCTCAGGGTCCTGAGATCCAGCCTTGAGTTGAGCTCTGCGCTGCTGACCAAGCATGGAGCCTGCTTGGGATTCTTTTTCTCCCTCCCCCATGCTCACGCGCATACTCTCGCTCTCTCTCTGTCTAAAAAAATAATAATGATGATTCACTCCTCACTGGCTCTGGCCATTATGACAATATGAGACTATAAATGACAGCAATGGATCTATCCTAAGAAAAATATTTTCAGACATTTTCAGTGGGTTCAGGAACCTTAAATCTGTTCAAGACCCTAGTGTTATAACAGTGCAATCCACCATGCTCCATACCAGAGCATGTTAAGCTTCCTTAAGCATAACTGTCTACATAGTGGGGACTGATAATTATCCTTGTATTTAGTATCCTGTCTGTTTTGTCATGTTTGGTTTTTCACCTTGAATATAATTGAACAACTTTGTCGTTTTGACCTGGAACATTTTTAGAGCATTTCTTTAGATACCAGTGTTGTCTGTAGTTATTAGATGTGATCGTTTTACATTTTACGTGATTATATTACATTGTTAAAGGTGTATGATTGGTCAACAACAGTTCTAGTATGAATTTGAAGTCTTTTGTGTTCCTTTATAAATGTATCTTATATTTGATTGTAATTACATGTATTCTCCCTTGATAAAAGATTTTACAACTGTAACTTGTGTGGATACAATGCAAGAAGAGGAAGGAGATAAAGGGGATGATGCCTCAGTTCTGACCACCAGAAATGATGATAAATCATATCCATATACCAATCCCCGCTGGGCTACTAGAGTCTTTGCTGCCGAGTGTGTCTGTAGGATAATTAACCAGTGTGAGAATGCACACAGCGCACATTTTGACATTGCTTTAGCACAAGAAATGAAAAAAAGGGATTCAAGAAGTAAGTGGCATAAAGATGAAAAGACCAAAGGATATACATAGAAATGTTGTCTGCTTATGTTTTTAATATTAATTTAAGAAGTAAAACTAGAAAGTAGTTTGTATTCTTCCAAATCAGTTATGAATTTGACTATAATATTTGTGTAAGCTATAAAACATTAGTTTTAATGTTTATACACATTTTCAATGATTTAGCTTCTTAAATTGTCATTCACTTTTGTTTAATGGACTTGTGCATGACTTAAGTTTATAGAAAATAAGCATGTTCTTGGAAAGTAGTACATGCATTAGCTTACCCCCAAAATTTATTTTCTGAATTACAACTTACAGTATTTTTGCTTATCAGTTATTTTGGTTTCATAAATATTACCCAGAAAACATTAGAGCCTATCACAGTGTAGCATAAACCTGCTTGCAAGGCCATTTTGACCTTTTATTCAGTTTTATTGTTTGTACCTAAAGGGGTATGTGTACATACTACAGCTTGAATTCACTTAAGCACATTATGTTCAAAGACACAGTGCACATACCTAAATGCCATAGATATATTTTTTACCAGACAAAAGAATTATATAGCAAAATGTTGCTATTGCAAGTGTGGGAGTATGAATTAGGTATCTCTGTTTTAGTGATTTTTCAAGCAAGTGTTTATTGAGTCTCTTTATTTGTGATGAGTACTATTCTAGATACTGATAGGTATAAAATTAGTATATCATAGATGCTTACTGATTCCTTTCTTCCCAATTAAAATTGTAATTGGCACTTACTAAGTGAGTTGGTTTCTTCATTGTGACCTATAACATTCTTATTAAAATTAGTACCAGGTATATTTTGAGTAAAGGTTAGTTGTACCCCTGAATATTTTATTGTTCAGTGATGTCCTAAGTGTCTGTATGTGTTAAGACATACAGAAATAACATAATCTAGTCCATATAAAGAACCACATAAAACTATGTTTTTCAAAAGGAACATTTAAGTCTTTCAGCTTCAACTTGACATAATTACTGTTATGCTATTTAATTACTGCCTAATTCATCAATACCCAAAGTTTCCTAAATACCTTCTAATGTGCTTTTATCAGAAAGTCTGAAAAAAGTTTTTTTTGAAGGTACTGTTAGCACTCTTTTAAAGGATGCTGATTTTGTCTTTGATTTTTGAATAGCTGTGTAATTGTTTGCCTCGGGACTTTTTTGTATGTGATTATTTGCAGTAGTGCAGCAAATCCAGCTTTAAAGTTTGTATTTAACAAACAGTACAATGAAACAGTAAATCAAATCAGAGGTATTTAAAAGAAAATCTAGAAAAGTCTGAAATTATAAGGAGGAGAAATGATCATTTAACGTAAATCTTAGTTCCAACGTATGCTTTTTCTTGATAAGATTTTTTTAATCTTATAGATGACTTTTTGGTGCTACATCTTGCTGACTTAATTCGCATGGCCTTTATGGCTGCCACGGATCACAGTGACCAGCTCCGTCTTTCTGGCCTTGAAACACTGTTAGTTGTTATTCGGCGATTTGCAGCTATTCCAGAACCAGAGTTTCCAGGTCATGTGATTCTGGAACAGTATCAAGCCAATGTAAGCACTTTCTGTTCGAGAGTTTTATTTTTAAACACCTGGGATAAAAAGTCTGTGAAACTAATGGGCATGTCACTTTTCAATATGTAAATGAGTATATGTCTCTGCTAATATATCACCAGTATGATCAGTATATAGAAGCATATGTTTGAAGAAGAAATAGTAAAAGTGAAGTGGTACATAAAACAGGTCTTTTGTAAGGTTACAGGTTAATAATTAAAACCTTCTTGGTAATTTGTGGGAGATAAAGGACATTGCTAATTAAAATCTTTACAGAATATCTGAATATTCTTTTTTTTTTTTTAAAGATTTTATTTATTTATTTGAGAGAGAGAGCATGAGAGGGGGGAGGGTCAGAGGGAGAAGCAGACTCCCTGCCGAGCAGGGAGCCCGATGCGGGACTCGATCCTGGGACTCCAGGATCATGATCTGAGCCGAAGGCAGTCGCTTAACCAACTGAGCCACCCAGGCGCCCCAAAATATCTGAATATTCTTAAGATAACGCTAAATCATTACTAAATATTCCATTTAGGCTGCATGCATATTTTATCTTAAAATCATCACTCCTGGAATAAATGTAACCTCCTTTTTTTCTCTCAGCTTAGAAAAGAATTCAGGCTCCTATTACTGGTTCTGTAATTTTTTTAACATGTTTCCCTCGTGCATTGAGCAATGTAGGAAGAACAAGGAAGATAACAGAATCTTCACATATTCCATCACACACTTCCCATGTAATCCTCCTGCATCATTCATCCTTCCCTACCTCTCCTTGTGATTCAGAGGCAGCTTTTGTGGGGTAGCAGTTAGGGAGACAGGAGCAGTTCACCAGTTAGCTGTCTCCATCAAATCTTCCCAGCAGGAAGTGCCTATGTATCTCTGAGAGAAAGCAAAAGGAAGGGATAGGAGTTACATAGAACTACCATATTAGAATGAAATGTTACAATTCAACTTAAGGGGAGCACTCTTATATTTTTAGCCCTCATAAAATTGCAAATGAGGGGTGCCTGGCTGGCTCAGTGGGTAGAGCATGGGACTCTGGATCTCAGGATCGTGAGTTCATATCCCACATTGGGCGTAGAACTTGCTTTAAAAAAATTGCAAATGATAGAAATAAAATTACAGCTCCCTTAAGCTGAAAAGGAAAGTTGTTTTCACAAATCCCGGTTGGTTCTGCTTTCTTCTACACTGGCTTTATTTTCGAGTTTGCTCTCTCCAAGTGTTATCAGGATGCTTTTCTTAGCACCAAGTCTTAAAAAGAGACAGTGCTTCTGTCCCAGTATTCCCAGGAAACATCTTCAGAAGACCTTTTATAACCCTCTGCTTGGGTCCCTGGAGTCAAGCAGTGCTCTCAGCTCCGTAGCAACAACATGGGCAAAGAGTGGGTAAGAGAGAAGGTTCCCCAAAAGAAAATTGAGGTGCTCTTATCTAAAAGAAGATATACTGGACAGGCAGAAACAATAGGTGTCTGGAATACCTATTATAAACAGATAATTTAAAAATAATATTAAAAACAGAGTTTGTGCTGTCTTCCTTATTGATGCTTGATATTTCATATCATTTGTTGCCAGGTAGGAGCGGCACTTAGGCCAGCCTTCACTTCGGAGACGCCACCTGATGTCACTGCCAAAGCATGTCAGGTAAATGGTTAAAAAGACAAAGTTTGGACGCCTGGGTGGCTCAGTTGGTTAAGCATCTGCCTTCAGCTCAGGTCATGATCCCAGGGTCCTACGATCAAGTCCAGAGTCAGGCTCCCTCACAGGGAGTCTGCTTCTCCCTCTGCCCATCCTCTCACTTGTTCTCTCAATCTCTCTCTTTCTCAAATAAATAAATCTTTATAAATAAATAGACAAAGTTTAAGAAGTAAAACCCTCTCTTAGGAGGCAGTTCTCCAGTTAGTATTTGATACCAAGGGTTCTACATTTAGTTGTCTAACCATTAATCTCAGCTGTTCCTTTTCCTTTACTTTTTTTTTTTTTAAGATTTTATTTATTTATTTGACAGAGAACACAGCAAGAGAGAGAACACAAGCAGGGAGAGTGGGAGAGGGAGAAGCAGGCTTCCCGCTGAGCAGAGAGCCCAATGTGAGGCTTGATCCCAGGGCCCTGGGATCATGACCTGAGCCGAAGGCAGATGCTTAATACTGAGCCACGCAGGCGCCCCCTTTCCCTTTACTTTTTAAATTTAGAGAATTTCCCCTTCCTTTCATATAACTGCATGGTAATCCACTGTTGGATATGTCATAATTTATTTAACCAGTGATGGATGTATGGGTTTTTCATCTTTTGCTGTTACATATATTGCTGCAGTAAATGACTTTCCGCACAGGTCACTTTATGGGTACAAGTGTATCTGTGAGGTAAATTCTGCAAGATTGAATTGCTGGTTTAAAGACTATATTGTTGGGGTTTACCAATTTAAACTCCTCCCAGCATTGTATGCAAATACCTGTTGTCCCACAGTCTTAACAATACTGTAAGTTGTCAAACTTTTAGGTTTTTGTCTATATTTTAGACATAGTTTAGATTTATATTAGAATAGTTTTAGGTTTATATTTCAAGTGATCCTGAGCATTTTTTCATGTATCTAAGCCATTATCATATATAATTTTTTTTGTTTTGTTTTTAAAAGATTTTATTTATTTGAGAGAAAAAGAGAGCACAAGTGAGCATGAGCGGGGGTGGGGGGGCAGAGCAGAGGCAGAGAGAGAAGCGTACTCCACGCTTAGTGGTGAGCCCTACGTGGGGCTCAATCCCAGGCCCCTGAGATCATGACCTGAGCCGAAGTCAGAAGTTTAATCCACTGAGCCACACAGATGCCCCTAAGAGCTATTATAATATATAATTTTAAAGTTACTTTTCTAGGAATGATTGTCAGACACTCAATATCCAGCCCTAAATGACCTGCAATAATTAAAAGCAGAACTGGCTTGAATTGAATTATTTATAAACATAATGGAATAAACTAAATTTAGTCCGTTCTTTCAACTTTCTTTTATTCACTTGTATTTAGGATATGTTTGGTACCTTGAATATTCAAAGAACTGTATTAAATGTTGTACCAAGGGCACCTGGGTGGCACAGTTGGTTAAGTACCGAACTCGGTTTTGGCTCCAGCGGTGATCTCAAGTCGTGAGATTGAGCCACACTTCAGCCTCCACACGCAGCGCAGAATCTGATTAAGACTCTCTCTCTCCCTCTCCCCCTCCCCTCCCATACTCGCTCTCTCTCGCTCTCTCAAATAAATAAATGTGCTGAGTGTCTGACTTATTATCACTTCATTATTTGTGTTCTTGTTTTAAGCCATTAAAATCTTTTGTGAAATGAGACAGGAACTGAATAAATAGATGGAAGAGGAAAAATTAATTTTCTCTAGAAAAAGAGAAATACTGTGACATCCAAGAAAACCAGACAGCCTCTGATAATGGAGCAAACTGTTTGCATTGGAGAATTATTAATGATGTTTTGTTTTAAAATACTTTCAATATCTTTTTTCAAAATGTTCATTAGGGTTTTAAATGTTAAGTTCTTTAATTTTCAACAGTTATACTAATTAACCACACCATCTCTGCTTTTAAAGTAGATGAAATAATCAAGATTGAAGATTTTATTCAAATGTTAATCCAGGGGCGCCTGGGTGGCTCAGTTGGTTAAGCGACTGCCTTCGGCTCAGGTCATGATCCTGGAGTCCCGGGATCGAGTCCCGCATCGGGCTCCCTGCTCAGCGGGGAGTCTGCTTCTCCCTCTGACCCTCCTCCCTCTCATGCTCTCTGTCTTTCATTCTCTCTCTCTCTCAAATAAATAAATAAAATCTTTAAAAAAAAAAATTAAATTAAAAAAAAATGTTAATCCAAACATTTATGAAAGTGGTATCTTTCATGGCTTCATTTCTCCATATTAGTAACATCTGAAACTCTTTGATTTATCTACTTATTAACACTGGTTTCCTTGCTTCAACCTTAGACTTCATTCCCTTTTGAAATGCTGGCTTTTGACTGGCATTATCAGCAGCATCCCTTGGGTTTCCTGATAGCAAGATGATTTCAGTGTGTTAGATTCCTGAGATATGGTTAGCTCTGCTGAACTCACAAAGGAGGTATCTATAATTTTTAAATGTAACTTTTGATTTTCTTAAAAACCAGGTTTGCAGTGCTTGGATAGCAAGTGGAGTTGTAAGTGACCTTAATGATCTCCGAAGAGTTCATCAGTTGCTTGTTTCATCATTAACAAAAATACAGGCTGGAAAAGAGGCTCTGAGTCACTTATATAATGAAAGTGCCTCTACCATGGAAATATTAGCTGTGCTGAAAGCCTGGGCAGAGGTTAGTGCTTCTCCATTTATAACTGGAATTTTAGAAGTTGTTAATAAACACCATAGGCTATAAACTGAAATTAACTATTTAAAATACAACTAA